GGAAAGAAAGGTTTCCAACTCAAAGAAAATCCAAGTTACAACCAAGAGGAAATAGACCTTTTCAAGTGCTTGAAAGAATAAATAACAATGCCTATTAATTAGATTTAAGTGAATATGGTAATATAAGTCCTACCTTTAATGTGGCTAATCTATCTTTGTTTAATGCAGGTGATGAATTTGATTCGAGGACAAATATTTTTGAAGGGGGAAGGAATGACAAAGATCTAACTAGTCAAGGCAAAAAAAATTTATGTGATATTGGAGGTCTTATGACAAGGTCCAAGATGGAGATGATGAAGCAAGCTTTACAAGGATTAATTATGAAGATCAAGGCAAGTTCAAATTCAGAGGCTATACCAAAATGGATCACTTTCTTGAAGATAAACATGACAATCCTAAACTCATGTATCAAGAAGAAACATTAATGGATGGAAGCATAAATAGTTTTGGGCTGAATAATTACTTTAGTCCATTTTCATATTTTTTTTATTGTAATTTTCATGTTTTATTTTAATTATATAAGTTCATATGACTTTTCATATTGCCTAGGTCATTTTCGAGTGTTGTTAGGCTTCGTAGTGGAAATATATATAAGTGAGAGATTGTTTATCTTAGTCTATAAATAAGAGCATCTTGTAAGAATTCAAGTCGAATTTGAATATTAATCATATTTTGAGTTTCTCATTGTGAGGGCATTTCCCTTTATTCTTGAATAAGAACTTTATAGTGTTGGTATTGTCAGCAGGCCACAATTAGGGTCACAGTTCTTTTTTTGATAACTTTGATTTTACCGATGAGTCACAATTATGATCATTTATTTCTTTGCCTGTTTTCAAGACGACCCTACATTATAAAAATTGTATCATATTTTGTACTAGAACTTTCAAAAAATGGACATCCCTTAAGTTGATCTTTTGCCCTACAACAAACAATCGGTAAGATTCTTGGGAGAAAAGGTTACCACCTGAGGATGCATGGACCTCAACACTTATTTTGGGTACGGCTGGGCCGATAACTAAATGATCAAAGTCAAATACATACTAGTGCATGCCAATACTTCCTACAACATAATGTTGGGTCAACCATTAATCAATGCTCTAGGGGTTATAATCTCTATGCTCCATCTGGCTATAAAGCTTATCTTCCACTTATGAAAGGTTGTCACCCTTCATGTTGATGAAAAGACTACTAGAAAGTGTTACATGGCAAGCCTAAAGGTAAAACCTTTAGAAGAAAAAGAGGCCTTAGGCGTCAATATGGTAAATTCATAAGGGACCAAACTGCTGGAGCTCAACCCACAAATAGGTGAAGAGCAAAAAAAGTCAAATCAAATAAAGAAACCATGCCTCTGCAACTAGGTAGTGGTGTGGCACAAGTTACCCACTTCAGGTCACAACTAAGTACATTAGTTGGGATCAACTATAGTGTATAATCATGGAAAATTATGAATTGTTAGCTGGGTTAGCTACCGAAATGTTAGGAAATGATCCAAGGTTCCATTATCATCGACTTTCTATTTACCAAGAAGCATGATCGATTGCGCAAAAGAAGAGGAAGATGATAGAAGAAAGAAAAAGGACATTCAAGGAAGAGGTGAAGAATTTTGACAACCGTTAAGTTCATTTGAAAAGTCACCTATACTATATGGATAGCTAACATGGTCATGGTAAGAAGATCTGACAGGAAGTGGAGGATTAGAACAGATTACACAGATCTTAACAAAGCATGTTCAAAGAATGTCTATCCTTTTCCTAATATAGATTAATTGTTAGATGGAGTTATTAGGCACCAAATATTTAGTTTCTTAGATGTCTATTTAGGTTATAACCAGATAAGAATATACTTGAGGATGAGGAGAAAATTGATTCTATAACGGAATTTGCCAATTTTTGTTATCGAGTTATGTTGTTTGGCTTGAAAAATGTTAGAGCAACTTACTAACGCCTCATGGATATAGTGTTCAAGAATCAAACCGGCCAAATCCTAGAAGTTTTTGTTGACAACATGGTGATGTAAAAAATCCGCAAGTGAACAGATTGTCACCAAGTAATAAAATATCGATCCATTAAGATCACATTTTGACTGACACAATTATTATTAATTAATCATAATTAAAATAAAATAATATAATTGTAATTAATAATGTAAAATATAACAATAAGATGAAAGAAACTAATATATTAAATAACAAAATTGATTTTGCTAATTAAAATATATTTTAGGATTAGGGATTGCTCTTAGATTCTTATCAATCTAATCTTCTTATTCAATATTTAATAAAAATATTTTAGAGGATAATTTAACTTATGATATTCTTTGTCCTCTTTCAAGATACACAGAAGTATTTAATTGAATTAACCCCCACTACTGTCGTAGCTTTGCTCAAATAAATTCATTACACACCTTGTTAATCTAATTAGTCCTTGAAGGATTAAATTTACTTTCGTGATTTAAAACCTAAGTCTAATTTTTAGGGTTCCAAAAATTAGGTTCACCTTTCAGCTCTTTCCTAAATTTCTATAATTATGAAAAATGATTTTCAATGATTCACATATATAAATTACTAAAAAGTAGATCAAGAGAATAAATAAAATAAACTATTAATGATTAGATTAAATAAAAATGGTTCTCAAGGGCTAAGCCTTGATCCTAGAATAAAGGAGATTACTCACATATGATCATGATATAATTCACTCTAAAAAAGCAAGAATACATAAAAGTAAGAATGAATCTAAGAGTTGAGAGAGATTCAAAATCTTAAATTCTAGAGGTAAAAACAAAGCCAAAGATACCTCCTCCCTCAACTCATCTCCTATTTAAAGTGTTAAAAACTAATCTTAAATGATAAAGAAAATAAAAATAAAAAATTACAAAACAATAGAAAAATAAATAGGAAGTACAAACAATAGCACGAGTGTGCAATTGGGATGCATACCTATGTGATTTGAGTCTGATGGCCTTGGACACTCTGGCATGGTGTGTAATGGGTTGCACATTTGTGCGAGTTGCTAACTTGATCTTTTGGGACCTTTAGTGAATGGTATGGGCATACCATTGGTCACATGCTTGTGCGAGTTGCTGCATTGTGGCAGATACATCTCCTTTTTGCTTTAAATTTAAATTTTTTAATTCCTACATTCAAAAAGAACTATCATGCGTAATAGATTCAATAATTAATGATAAACAATGCAACAAAGAGGACAAAAACAATAATTATGTAAATGAATCAAAAATGTTTCCTAAATATCTACAAAATGCAATGCATCACATAGTCGTAAAGTCAATTGACGTTACTTAACTTCTTAGAGTCCTTCAAGAAATTTTTCAACAGCTCCGAAAGCATGATATGCAACTAAATCCCAAAAATGTGTCTTTAGTGTATTAGGTGGAAAATTTATAAGCTTTATGTTATCCTCTTAGGGTATGCAAGCCAATCTAGGTAAGTGTTAAGCAGTACTAAAGATGCATAATCTAAAAATAGTCAAGGAAGTGTTATTCTTAGACAGACAGTTAGCCTCTTTGTCTCATTTTCTTCCAAAGTTGGCCAAGAGAACTAGGTCAGACATGAATCTCCTTAAAAAGGCAAAAACCTTTAATTAGGATAAAGTTTGCAAAACTACATTTTAGGCACATAAAGAATCATTGGCCACACCTTCCATCTTGTTTAAACTAAATCTTGAGAAACTTATCCTTGTATACTTATTAGTCTTAGAAGTAGTTGTTAGTGCCATTTTGCTTCAAGAATATTTTGATGTAGAAACTATAACATATTTTGTTGTCGCATGTTACTAGATGTCGAAACTCAATACTAACTCCTTGAAAAGGTAGCCTTGACTTTAGTACAGACGTCACGAAGCTTGCATCAATACTTTCAAGGACACTAGATCATGGTATAAACTAACTGCCCATCAAAATATTAAGGAAGCTCAAATTGGTGGGATGGATGATAAATTGCTCAATGGAGCTTTCTATGTTTGAGATCTGTTTTGAGTCAAAGGGGTTCATCATAGCCCAATGCTTGGTCGACTTTGTTAATGAATCACACCCTCATGGATCCTTTGCAATTGAGTGTTGGACTTTGCATGTTTATGGATTCTCAAATGACCAAGGTAGTGAAGTAGGAATCATCCTAGAAGACCTAAGTGGCCTTGTTATGGAGTAGACACTGTTAAACTTTAAAGCCTTTAATAATTAGGCATAGTACAATGAGTTGATAGCTGGCCTCGGGTTGGCCAAAGAAATGGAGGCAAATAAGATCCTATGTTTAAGTGATTTCAAGATAATAACTTAACAGATTAACAACTTATTCCAAGTAAAGGAGCCTCATCTAATAAAGTATTTCCAAGTTTTTCATACCCTTGGGAAAAACTTTGAGGAAGTTCTGGTTCAACAAATTCCCTAATTTGATAATGAGAGAATTGACTAATTGGCAAGCTTGGGCATTAATCATGAGGAGTGCCTATAGATAGAGTCATTGTCACTACATTGTACCAATGAAATTCTATTATTTTTGGAGAATAGTCAATTACCTGGCAACCCTAAATAGGCCAAGTGAATTTGAACCCAATCGACTTGAATGTATTCATGGTGAAAGTACCATGGCACCTAATTTGTTGCACTCTGGGTATTACTGGCTTACATTGAGATCAGATTGGGCACTTTTTGTCAAGAAATACACCTGATGCCAACAACATGGAACGTCATTTGACAATTGACCCAAGAATTGCATACCATTTCATCTCCTTAGTTGTTTACCATTTTGGGAGCAAACATCTTAGGCCTTTTACCTATGGCCAAGTGGAAATGTAAATTCCTCTTCACAATATTCCACTTTTTCACAAAATGGATCAAGGAAGAACCTTTAGCAAGCATATCTGCCTCAAATGTACAAAAGATTTTTTTTGTAAAAACATCATCACTTGATTCGACATATCACATACAATAGTCACTAACAATGGGTTTTAGTTCATCGATAAGAAACTCAATGATTTTCTCCAAGGCTTGGGTATAAAGTATAAATTTATGTTAGTCGAACACCTCCAGTCTAATGGGCAGGCAAATCTACCGATAAGGTCATTTTGACAGAACTCAAAAAACATCTTGGAAAGACAAAATGATCATGGACCAATCAACTACCAAAGATATTATGGACATACAAATGCACACCCCAATCCACCACACAAGAAACCTTAATTCAATTAGCATACAGAGTGAATGCAATGCTACCAATATAGCTCAATGAGCCCTCATTTCAATAACTTCATTTTGAAGAAAGGCATAATGAAAATGAGTTACAATCCAAGTTGGATCTCATCAAGGAAACAAAGGAGCAGTCACACATAATCGTTGAAGTTTACAAACAAAGAATAACTAAGTGGTACAACTCTCAGTTGAAGCCTAAAGACTTCTTAGAGGTTGACTTGGTGTGGAGAGTGTAGGGCAAAACATAAAAAGATTCAAGAAAAGGCAGGTTAGCATCAAACTAGGATCACCTTTTTCATATTCGACAAAACTTAAAAAATAGAGCCTACAAATTAAAAGAACTCTTAGGGAAAATTATCGCTAGAACATGGAACTCCTCCTATTTGAAAACATATTTTAGTTAATGTAAATTCATGAAATATGCACTTTTTTCCTTAGTCTTTTTTTCCCTAGAAGAACATGAAAGGGTTTTGGTTGAGGAGGTTTTTAATGAGGCACCCCATTATGGTTAATGAAATCACATTTCAACTACACCTTGATTTCTTTTATTTTTGAATGATTAACACATCGTTAAACATTACTCACCTTAAGTAATTTGACAAGGTGTCCCTCTAGAGTCATCACCTGCCCAAGGATGTATTTTTAGTGTTAAGTGAAATATTTTATAAGTGTTTTGATCGTATTGCAGGAACAATAAGATTTTCCTCCCAAGTCTCCATTCAGTCAAGTATGCACCTTCTGCATTAAGCAAAATAACTGTTACAAGGTTTCCCTCTTGAGTCTTTACTTGGCCAAAGATGTTCCTTTGATGTTAAGCAAAGTATTTTTATAGGGTTTCCTTCCCAAATCTCCACTTGGCCAAGGATGTACCTTCAACATGAAGCAAAATATTGTTATAAGGTTTCCTTCCTAAGTCTCCACTTGGCTAAGGATGTACCTTTGGCTATAAATGCAAAATATTTTTACAACATTCAATTCCTCCCTAAGTTCTTGGCTAAGGGAATACATTCAACAATAAATACAAAATAAGGCTTTCTCACCTAAGAAACATCTTCAGCATCACTTGGAAAGATTTTAGCCAAACGTATACAATTAACAAATAATAGAAAAAAGACATCACTTTTTTGTACATACAAACAAAATGCTTAAAAGTACATAACCCAAAAATAAAAGAGCAAAAATACCCATTTAGTCAGCACAAGACTAACATTAGGGCTATTAGTCAACCACCTTTTGTTCTTCTTCATCATGACTCTTAGTATCATCGTCTATAGCTTTGAGGTTTGTTTCATCATCACCTTGTCTAGAAACATTTTCTCCTTGTAAGGAAGCCTCAATATCTAGCTTGACACTCAACAACATCTTGACAAAATTTATGATTGCCCCTTTGTAAAAATCATGACCCATGATAAACTCAATCATAGGATAGGCTACAGATATGCTTCCCTTGTCGAATGGTCTGGTTGAAACAAACTTCATGTCGATCCACAATCCCCTACATTTGCTTACTCCTCATAGGCATCAAGATCCACATGAGCCCAACAAACCTCTTCTTTGCTCTTTCTTTTACCTATTCACTAATTTGAAGTTGCAACTTCAAGTCATCAACCTATTAATGGAATTGCAACAAAGTCAAACTCGGGAGTAGCAATTGTAGTGGTGGTGTGGACTCAATCGCTCACTCTTATTTATTGTTGAGTCCAAACCCTTTATATTTAAATTATGACAAACCTTATGAACACAAGTCATGAGTCTTCTAAGTATTTATGCTACTGTTGAGTTTGCTTAGTGTGTTTAGAACATCAATTAAAGCAAACTCAAGATTGATTCAGAATGATTTTGAGAAGATGACTCAAAATCAATATGGTATAAATATCATAATGAAGTTTTAGAAGGTAGAACTCAAAATGGCTCAAAAGGAATGTCTCAACTAAGCAATGAAAATATTCAAAATACTATGAGATTTATTTGTATGACATCTTATTCTTTAGGAATTCATTTGAAGAGATCTTGGTGGCTATGAAGAAGTCAAGAGCTTATATGGAGTAAATCATGTGAAAAACTAAAGAAGAAGTTATAGATTATGTTGATCTTGACTACAAAACATAGTTGTTGTATTTTGCACACATCTTGAGTTGTAGATATGATCTTGAGTCAAACTTCATGGCTATGGAAAGCTTGAACAATTATCTACAACCTTTATGAAGAAGTCTTGCACTAGAAAAACCTAGATCAAGGGCAAGTATAGAAATCAAAATAAAAACGTCATTTTGAGTTGCAACATGAACATGGTGTAATATTTTTAGTTTATTTGGACTTGTAGACATGCGTTTGAGCCAAACTTGGTGGTTATGGAATTAGGGGAAATGTCCTGAAGACTTAGTTTAGGAGACCAGTTGTTTGAACCATCCATAAAAAAGATTTAGTTAAAACTCAACTTCTCAGGAGATTGATACTAAAACCTCTGCTTTGAAGATTTGAAGAAAAGGCTACTCAAAAGGTAATTGCTTCTAAAGAAAAAACTGACAACACCAAAAAAAAAGTAAAAGTGTAGTGATGTCAGCATCTGCTTAAAAAATAAGCAAGCCACAACAAATTTATTTTTAAGTGGCTATAAAAGGAAGACAAAGGTCTTATTTTGAAGTAAATAAAAACCAAAGAAAATGAGAAATTAGTGAAGCTTGACAAGTTTCGATCCTTACTTCATACTCTATATATTAAAAAATATCAACGTCAATATTTGTATTAGAAAAATGAAGTGTGCATCTTCCTTCATGAAAACTTTATTGTAAGAGAGTTACCCGTGATCTTTACAATCTACAAGAACATAAAAACCCACTCGGTTAAGCACGTTGCCTACCTAGATCTGAGTGTGCAAAGGTGCAGGAAAGTATAAATGAACCACAATAGGTGTTGTATGATCTCATGATAGGTGGTTATAAGGTTGAGTATCTCAACATGTGGTTAAGTGAAGAAATCTTAGCAAGTGACTAAGTGTTTTGCTACCAATAGCAGGTGGTTAGATAGTAGTGGTTTGTACAAATAGATGGCTAAATTGTAACAACAATTAACTTTGTTTTTAGTGGAAAATCCCACAAGGTTTTATGGGGACTGGATGTAGCCCAATTGGGGTGAACCAATATAAATCATGTGTTTAATTTCTATCTCTCTATCGCTTTACTTGTTTATTTAACTTGCTACATTCATTATTACATTGTTACATAATCTATTTTTACAAATAATTAAACTTGGAAACTATTTTCAAAAAATACATTTAGCTCAAACACTCATAAGTTTTACTTTCTAAGTAACATATTTGCATAAAGAACAAATTATTATAAAGGATCTTGTTTATTTAATGTTAGTGCATTCACTATTATACTGCTACATAATCTGTTTTGAAAATAAGTAACCTTAGAAACCATTTTCCAAAAAAAAATACTTTAGTTTCTAGCACTTAGAAGATCTACCTTCTGAAACTATTTTAAAAAAATATACCCAACTCCAACACTCAAAAGATATACCTTCGAAGTAACAGATTTTTATAAAAGAATTGATTTTTAAAGAGTATAACAATTCAACTTTCCTTCTTGTACGTTAACATTCACATCATTTATTGAGGAATATGAAAAAAACACAACACTTCACAACCGTCAGATCAAGAGTAATCTAATAGTTTGCTAGACATGACTCTTTGCTTCCTAAACAATGGAACTAGGCATGACAATCTGACCCGCCCCATGAGTACCCGCCTGAACCTGCCCCAATATGGAGGAGAAAAACCTGTGTTTATTGGGTTCGGGTTCGGGTTTTCTTCGATTGATAAAATCGGGGGTGGGGCGGGGACGGGGACATTAATCCCTGCCCCGCCCCTGTACCTGCCCCGTTTAATAATAAAATTAAAAAATTATTATATATATATAAATCAAAATTAGAAATATTTATATGTAAAAATTTGTATTATTTTACTTTTCTTTTATTTTTTTAAAATTTGTTCATATTTATTTTAAAGAAAAAAAGAAAAAAAGAAAAAAATAAATGTAGGAGCGGGGTATATGTAAAAATTTGTATTATTTTACTTTTCTTTTATTTTTTTAAAATTTGTTCATATTTATTTTAAAGAAAAAAAGAAAAAAAGAAAAAAATAAATGTAGGAGCGGGGTTGGGGGTGGGGCGGGGAAACCCGAACCCCGCCAGGGACGGGAATGAGTACCCAAATTTTACCCCTAGCGGGTATTGGGGGCGGGGGCGGGGGTGAGAAACGTAAAACCCGCCCCGTTGCCATGCCTAAATGGAACCACCCCAGTTGAAGTGTAAGTGACATAATGGTTATGAAACACCGCTCCAAAAGCACCCTTGAAACTACATAAAATAAAACCTTGTTCATCTTTTTGCTAAATTCTCCAATGCTCGAGGGCATGTATACTAGATGGACCTTAGATTACTAGAAACACACACATCCACTAACACCTAGGAATGCTCGCTCGACATCCTCGAATATCGATACGATTGTGAAAACTTGGGCATGTTTATTTGGCATCCTCAGACATCGACATATTCACTAGTATCTAAGGATACTCATTTGATATCTTCAGATGCTAATACACCCTTGAAAACCTAAGCATGTTCATTCAACACCCTTAGATGCCAACACATTCACTTGCATTTGGGGATACTTATTCAACATTCTCAAATGCAGATACACCCTTGAAAACTTAAGCATGTTCATTCGAAACCTTCAAAAATTGACACCTTTAAACTAATATTGCATGTACAAGATATCTCAATACTATATCTTATATACAACTATGTTTCAATATATTTCATTGGAAAGCTTTAGACTTTTTTTTAAACCAAGAAAATCTAAAATAGTTTTTTTAATATCCAACTCACCCCTTATTGGATATACCATCTTTTCTAATGGCTCATTATATGTAAAGGTAATTAAGATGATTAAGCCTAATTATGATTATAAGTGAAATACAGACGTATTACCTAATTGGTAATCTCAAAATAAGGCTAAGTGAAACCTGAGTCCAATACAACTGATATAAATAGTATCATATATCGAATTAAAATTATTGTTCATAATATATTCACATTTATTATATCGAATAGGCTATTTACTTATGCGTTGGAGTGTCTTTTATAAATATATCTCATTTGACATTGCAAGACAATCAATTTGAAGAATAAATAACAAAAAAGACATAAAGAGAAGATAGTAGAAAATATTTCAAACAAACACAATTTATTTTTATGAAAAAGGTGAAATTCACAATCTAAAGAGCATAATATTGTTAATTACATAATAGAAAAAAATCATTACGAATAATGATGTTGAATCGGATTTTATTTTGAAAATTTGATCATTTTGTTAAATTGCTTGATTTAACTTAGTTACTCATTTTATATGTATATATGATCGAGTTTTTAAAGATTCAAACTGAATTCTTTGTAAAAACGATTCAGTTAAATGATTTGGTTAATTTTCTTCTCTAACATGATTCAAATTTTATAATTATGTTTGGTTTAATTTTACATTATTTTGTTTTGATTCAATTTGTTTTACACCCTAACCTTAGTTAATGTGCATTAACCTTAAACACCAACAATCATATGAAAAATAAAATAATAATTATTTAATAATTTAATAATTTATATTTGTACGTAATAAATTACAATTAACCGTTTAATCCATTAAGTTTGTCCACGGTAATTTGCAAATTGCAAAAGATTGTGGGCTTTAGTGTTGTCATTGTATAAAACAAAAATCAATTTTTTTTTTTAATATTAAATGCAGTTATATTATGCGACAGTATTTTTAGAGTTAAATTTTTTTTATTTAATTAAGCTTTTTTGTTTATCATACTTATTTATAAAATAATTTTATTTAAAATAAATTATCAATAATTAAAATAATTTTATGTTGCAATATAAATTATTTATTTTAAATATAAAGTATAATTAAGTATAATTTACATGTTAAAAAATTATTTATACAATTTAAAATATTATTTATATATTCAAATATAATATTTATTTATACATATATTTTATTATAAATTTTAATTATGTATAATAAATATCTAGATTGTGAAATACTTAAATTAAAATACTAATAATGATCTATACCAATGCATATTGAAATAAAAAATAACTATTCAAATTTATAAAAGAGATAATGAAATTCTTAACTACTTTTTTATCTCTATTTTTGTAAGCCTCATGTACGTATAAATATTAGGGATGACAAATAAACTCGTTCTCGTGGGTAATATCAGAACTCGTCCTGACTTTGATGAGGAATACTCGATTTGACTGGGTACGGGTACGAGTACGAGTAAAACCCGATATGTTAAACCGGTATGAGTACGGGTACGGGTATATACATAGTCACTCCGTACCCGTACCGGTATCCGTCCTCGATTGAATTATGTTAAAAAAAATTAATATTTTATTATGTGTAATTATTTATTATAATGTAAAATATTTATAGTTGTTTAATTATTAAGAAATCTCTTGATTAAAATATGAGATAGAGAAACACTTTAATTATAATTATAATATAATAAAAAAATAATTTAAAAATATTGTGTATTTTTTTTGTAAAAGAATAATAATAATTTTTTGCAGATAGGCGTACGGGAATGAGTTTGAGTCGCGGGGATGAGACGAGTATCATGAAATCTATACCTGACTCGTCCCGTTGCCATCCCTAATAAATACGTTAATTATAGTTATACTAAACTCCTCCACGTATTTTAGTCTCTATTTTTGTAAGACTATTTTTCCTTCAAATACATATAAATGTTAATTATTTTTATTTCTCCCCCCACTCTTTTCTCTCACTTGATCTACTTTCTCACTTTTAGTGTTATCTCTACTCCTATTCACTACTACACAATAAGCACCTCCACTCTATTATTTTTTAATTTTAAAAAATAAAATTGATGCATGAAATACCTCTTTTCCAATAATAATATAGAAAATAAATCTCACAGCATTTTTGCTATCTTTATTAGACATTTTCAATGAAGTTTTCTCTATTTTTTTTCTCTCAAATAGAAACTTTTATTTTATTATTATTTTTTATTATTTTGAACGTATATATATATATTCACAACTATCTTACAAATATAATTTAATAGTATGGAATCTTAAAAAAAAAAATTTAATCGAAGGGAATAAGAAGATAAAGAAATGAAGAGAAGTTGAAGAGAAGAAAACCTTTTCCGATATAAATTTAGTTTTCTCCCAATGATGAAAAGATTTGAAAGAAAAGGGATTTAATTTTTTTTATTAAAAACATTCTTACTTATATTTTTTAATTCAAAATTATAAAGATATAAAAGTAATACTTTTTCAAAAAGTCATCATTTTTTTCTCCTTATGAACTAAATAAAAAAATTAATTTTTTCTCTTCTCCATTAAAATTTTCTTCTTCTTTTAATTAAACAAATTTTTAACTTTTTATTTTACATCTTCTCTTTTGATGCAAACATTAGGTAAAATATTATTTTGACTAACTAAAATAATTTTATCTTTTATCTTTATATACACTCAATATTCTTAACTACATATTTATTTTAATTTATTTTCTTTTATGTCTATCTATAACTTAATTTTATTATTATTTAGATTAAATTATCTTTTTATCTCTTATAATATTAAATTCATAATTTTAACTTTTTATTTTTTATTTTTTAATTTTCATTTTCAGTTTTATAAAATTTATATTTTAACTCCATCGAATATTCATTCATTAATTTATAAAATTATTATATTAATCATGATCTAATATAAAAAAATATAACAACCTAAAATTTAATAATATTTAAATTAAATTTCACTTTTAATCTCATATTTATGTCATATAAATAATAAAATAAGTGATAAAAAAATAAAAAGAAATTAATAATTTAATTTAATTTAAATATTATTAAATATAAATAATGATGATTAATATTATAATTTTAATAATTAATGAATCAATATTAATAATTGTAAATTTTATAAAATTGTAGATTTAAAATGAAAGAAAAATTATAAATTTAATATTATTGGAGAAAAAAAGTGTAATTTTTATACGATACAATAGTTATTATTATCTAAAATATAATTCATATAAAAATAAGTATTTATAAATACCGATGAGAAAGGCGGCAAAGAGATGCAGAAATCTTAGGGTTTAAGGGGCGCGGAGGAGGAGGAGGTTTGTCCGAGACATGGCTTTTTGGGGTAAGCAAGTGGTTTGTGCATTTTGTTGCTGCTGAGCCTGAGGTCTAAAAGCTAACCACAGTTCATTCACTCACTGTACTGCAGGAGTGGAAGTAAAACCGGGAAAGCCTTTTAATCATAAATATGACGACTCGAAAGGACGCCTCCATATTTCAATGGTAATGTGATGTAATGTAATGTTGTTCAGAAACCACAAAAATAGATCGCTAACGGAATATATTAATCTAGGCCACTTTGGGGTGGGGCACTGCAACAGCAAAAAGTACACTGCAGTGCAATGTAGGAAACCGGCGCCCTGTATATCTCTGCTCTCTCTATCCTGGAAACACCGAGTCATTGCAATTAAATTTAGAGCTCGAGGAAGTTGATCAAGTTGTTTTCTCTGTAATTGGCCCTCGGAGCATTCATCTATGCGGTTACTATCTTGCCACTGCCCGCAATACCAATCTTATTGATGATTCGTATCCTTATTCCCCAGTTTTCTTTACTTCAATTGAAGTTTACTTTTATTTTCCACTGTTTTTTTGTATTATATAATTTCCTTCACTACGATGGAAAGGGAATCATATGGGGAGGATATTGCAGATACAGAAACAGAGAGATCTGATAACAGTGATGAAGATGAGTATGAGGATAGTTTTATTGACGATGACGGCTTTCCAGAGGTTTTCCCACCATCTCCTATTTCCAATGAAGGCACGTTCAAATAATAATGTCAATCCTTTCTCGAGTTTGTCCCCATTTGAAAACCTCAATCATATCTGTGTTTTTTGTTTGACCTGACTGCAGAGAAACCAAAAGCTAGGAAAGGCAGCCTTCGACGGCTTAGGAAGAAATACCAGTCAGTAGAGTCGGATGATGATGACTGTTATGAGCAAACCATGGAAATCGAAAATGAAGATAACATACCTATTTCATCTCTTTTCAAAAATACAGCACCTGGAAGGGCTTTGGACCAGGAAATAGATGCTAGTGATGACAGAGGAGCGGGTAATGCCAGCAACAACAATGGTGATGATGGTGGAAATAGTATTGTCGAAGCAAATTTAAAATCTGACCATGTCCTTGTAGATAGTCAGTTTTTTTGTTGCGTCCGAATCTTCCCTTTTTATTCAATTGTGTAGATGCCCCCCCACCATTTCCTTCGGGTAGATGGTGTTTACCTGTATCCTTGTCCCTAAGAACAAAGAGATGGACATCTTCATGCAAAGCATTTAATGCTTGCAACAATGGCTAATTTACTATCTCTAATCTCGAACAGAAGATAGATGAAACATCCTGAGAAGACTGCTCAACGATCATTTTCTTGCAAGCTATTATATAAAGGATTGTCAATCAAAAAATAAAAAACGAAGAGAGTTAGAAAGAAAATAATAGAAGAAACCAAGTGCATGCCTTGTAAGAAAAATTTTGTCTTTTATAATTTATTTGTCCTTAATTTTCGTAGCATCATGTCTAGAAGAGACAAAGCTATCTTTGTAACTCCTTTCAAATTTTTATTAGTAAGGGTTGAGCCTAGAGAGGCTTATTAAAAGAATACTTAGTGTTTGAGCCTAGAGAGGCTTGTTGAAAGAATATAATTAGTGTTTAAGCCTAGAGAGGTATGGTTGAAAAAAATACTTGGTGATTGAGCCTAGAGAGGCTTGTTGAAAGAATACTTAGGTAGTTGTTTGAAGAATTAAGTCAAAGACTACTTAGGCTTGAGCTAGAAGTGGCATGTTTAAAGAATATTTGTATCTTTTGAAAGATAGTGGAACTCACAAGTTTACTTCGCCTATCTTCAACATATTTCCTTATGATGGGTAACTATTGACTTATTTAATGCAAGCATTAAATGCATTTCACCATGTATTACCTTTTATCTAATCAAGGAAGCTACTTATCATATTTCCATACAAAATAGAGCTTGTAGAAGCAATGTTAGTACAAAACAACATTAATAATGCCTTTATCAATTTTTCTGTGTAATTTCAAGGATTTTCATCCTTGGTTTTGATAGAAAGTATAATCTTGTTCTCTTTAAAAAATTTGTGAGTTCCAAGATGATTTTCTAGTTTGATTTGTTAGGGAATAAAATATTCAAGTGAATTTTTTGTTAGTTTTAATAAATAATGAATATTTAATGAATACGAGACAAACAATATTCTTCCTCTAATTCACATTGTCTTATAGATGATTTACATCTTACATTTTATCTGGTAAACATTTTCAAGGACATTTTCTCTTGTAAAAATATTTCATTTTTTAACATTAAAACTCTAAAACTTGAGGGATCCAAGATCATCTTTTGACTTAACACATCTCTTCTCGCGACAGCCACACCACTAAGGACAGGTCGACACAGTCTTGTACATCCATGTAGGATTCTCCCCTTGGGTTGGCCTAGTTGCTTGTGGCATTTGGGGCTGAGGTTGGGGGATCTCTCTATGCTGCAATGGCATTTCAAACTAAGGCTTTATTTCAGGTTAGGGCTAGGGCATGTTGTTGCAACTCGAAAATTTCTAACCTTGCGACCTATGGATTAGACATCCATTTGAAAAATCTCATCAATTAAGGAATGCTCGAAGACCAGACTAATCCCTAATTAATGGTTTTGAAAATAGGTTCATGGAGTTTCCACCAATGTTTTACTCAAAACATTGGAAAAAGGAAAAGTTTTTTTAAAAGTCCAATAATGGCCTTGATAACCAAAATTGGGTTCGGGGGTTAGTTGCATGTAGGGAAGGTATTAAGCACCCCTACAACGCCCTTAATTGGTACCCTTATGATGAAGTTAGCATAGTAAAAATAATAATATAAATACTTAATCCCCTTTATGAATGGTTATTTACATGCTTAAATTTAAATTAAGCGATTGACCCTAAAATGTCTACATATTTGCTTTTATTATAACAATATTTAAAATAAAAGAAGTGAAAGATGGAGCAAGACATTGATGAGAAATACCTCATAGCAAGTTTATTAGATCTTCAACTATGGAGACTTTTAGGTTCTTTTTGTCTACCTTTCACATTACAATATGCCTCACGAAACTCAATAAATACAATAGGAGGGAGAGAGAGAAATTTCGAGTTCTAAGGAGTATTTGACGAAATTTTGTGGCCCTGAAAACAATGACTGAGTTTTCTATTTATAGACATCAGAAAGTAGCTAGAACGGGCCGTTCCAAAATCAGAACGGCCCGTTCTGGATCCGACCATTATGTGTTAATTTTGTAATTGAAACGGCCCGTTCTTAAAATAGAACGGTCCGTTCCAGAGATGAGTTTAACACATAACTGACTATGCTGGAATGGCCGTTCCAAACAAGGGTTTCTAGGCCTTTCTAATAACTTAGAATGGCCCGTTCCAATTAAGGAACTACCCGTTCCAAACTTAGGTTTTAGCCTTTTTCAGGAACCTGGAACGGCCCGTTCCAAACTATGATTTTAGGCCTTTTAAGGAACTTGTAACAACCCGTTCCAGTTTAGCAACAGCCCGTTCCGGTTTAGGAATAACCCGTTCTGATTTTGGAACAGCCCGTTCTAGGCTACTAAAAATAGCTTTTTTGGGATTTGGGCCTTTTGATGTCATGTCTTGTTGTTTCCATGCTTGGGAGCTCCTTTTCTTTGATAATGGAAGTCCATTTCCTTATTTGTATGCCCCCTGGACGAAATTGGGTGTCTATAGCTGCCCCTCTTTACTTGTCCTTTGGAATAGCTATGTGTTGCTTTTCCAAAGGCAAGTAAAGACGTAGACATTTTGTCCGGGTCTTCTCTCTATCTCTTTGTGTTGGCGCTTCTGCGTTGGTTCCCTTGGATAGGTGTATTTGCTTGTATCATCCCCTTTAGAGCAGTTGAGTGTTGGGTTGCGTACTCTATTGGGTAACAAGGGTGACAAACTATGCACCTGATCTTCGGTCTTCGAATAGATTCTCCATGCCATGGCTCTAATTTCTTTTCTTGTGATAGTGAGGTGGACATCCGAGTCTTCAATCTTGTATTGACATTAGATGTCTCCACGTTGTTCCCTTTAGGTAGATGGTGTTTACCGATATCCTTGCCCTTTGGGGCAACTGAATATCGGGTTGTATGCCCCGTTGGGTATTCAAGGATGGCAACCTTGTACTGCCTAGGCTTCAGGATCCATGTGAATATTCCATGTCATTTCTTTTTTTGTTGCGTCCGAATCTTCCCTTTTTATTCAATTGTGTAGATGCCCCCCCACCATTTCCTTCGGGTAGATGGTGTTTACCTGTATCCTTGTCCCTAAGAACAAATGAGTGTTGGTTTGTATGCTCCGTCGGGTGATAAGGATGGTAAACTTGTTTTTTGACATGCCCCTTCATTAATTTCTCTAATAGGGCCTGTTTAATGGCGTTGTTTTTATTTCCTAATCTCATTTTCTGTTTTTATTTTTTTATTACAAAACTGTAACTATTTTTCTATCTGTTTTTTTCTTCAAAGATTTGTACAAGGAAGAAACAACTTTTTTTTGTTTTCTCGTTTTCCTGTACAAATACTTGAAAATAAGAAATAAATTGAATACAAGGTGACAAATTTTGTAATTAACAAGTGAAAACAGAAAATGAAAACTCAAGCTAACGTCCTTATTGGTTGAAAAGGAGCGTGTGTCCACACATTGCTGGAAAGAGTGTTACTAGCTATTTTCATATAAATAATATTCTATTTACCATTGTGATGTATATGCATGTATATTCATGATCCTCAGGCATGCAAGTTGGAGAAAAGAGAAGACTTGTAATTCCACCATCATTGACGTGCGTGATTAAATCCATGTGTCTAATTAATTTCCATTTTCTATGCTATAATTTCTTATTTGGGATCTCTAAAACCTCTAATGTGTGCATGTATCAGGTCTGAGAGTGATGGTTCAAGTGCCAAGATACCACCAAATTCATGGTTGGTTTATGACTTTGAACTGGTTAAAGTTCATTGAATATTTCATCCAACCGAATGTGGCTGATTACATTTTTTGGATGAACGCGAAAAAAACGGAGTTATACAGTGGACTGTCAAAAACCAACTGTACGTCAAAGTTTTTATTTTTTGGTTGAATCTCTGGTGTCCGGTGAATAGTTTTTGGAGTGGAACAGTGGTTGACTCGCGCAACCAAATCCGAAGTCTTGATTCTGAGTGAAAATGTTCAAACACATAACGGGCTGATTTCCTTATTGTGATAAAAGCAAACATTAAACAACTGAATACAAAATGTTTCCGTAGTGGATTAGTTAACTATTTTGTTGGACCCGATGGGCAGCGGAAGGTAAAGTGGGTTTGAATTAAACATGTCAACGAGGCTAGTTAGGACTGGGTCGTGTGCTTTCTGTCGCTGCTCTTGTCAATGCACCTTTAGTTTTTGGATGCTTCTTCAATCCAGACATTTGGTCGATAGTATACAAAATTGACAACTAGTCCATGCACATGCACTTCAGATTTCCATCCTAACATCCAGTACAGAAAAATAAAAACAAATGAGATAAAATTATATACTTAGGCACGAGAGATCCAGACTTGGTTGCAATTATTGAATAAAAAATGGTAATAGCACATAATATATTCTTTTAAACATTTTTTTTATTAAAACCATATATAAATCATAAAACTGTATTAATATGCTTTTTAATTGAATCCTTTTCATAATTTTATAATTTTACAAATTTTAATTAATAGTTAAAATATTCCTCGTCGTTGAATTTTTTTATCCTGTTAAAGCATGTTTGAGAGATAACTTATTTTTCTCCTCTACTAACATAGATAACTTATATGTGCATGAAAAACATTTTTGTTTTTTTTCCCTCCCTTAACAAATTCAAACATTTTACACTTAAAAATTTATCTCTTAATTTACACATTTAGTAATTATTTTAAAAATTATTATAAATTTTATTAAAATTAACTATATATATCTGAAAAAATTAATTTTCATTGTTATCACTAGAGAGATCAAGTGCCTCTAATAATTATACACAGGCAAATAATATAAGAATATTTTTTTTTTTACATTTAAGGAGTATAATGGTCCACTAAAAAGTGGAGACTAAAGGGGTAGTTACCAAAATATATCTCCTTTTTTATAACAAGTATAGATTACAAAATATTTTTAAAGTTATATATCAAAACAAAATAATATAAGTATAATAAAAGAGGAGAGTTCTTTTTACTCTAGGAGTAAATCTACCTAGACTTATTCCGTTCAATAATCATGTTTTACATCAAATTTTAGCGATCTAACCGTTCAATTTAAAGTTCTTAATGCATAGATTAAATCTGTAAATTTTTAGAAAATTTGAAAATTATTTGATACTTTATTTCATTAACTGAAATTGACGGATAATCATAAAATCATTTTATACATTGATTCGAATTAATGAAACTAAGTATCAAATTATTTTTTTTAAAAATTTGCAGATTTAATCTTTGTATTAAGAACTTTAAATTGAACGATTAGATCATTGAAATTTGATATAGAATATGAGTTATTGAATGGAGTAAGTCTACTCCGGAAGTAAAAAGATCCCTCCTCATAATAAAATTCAATATAAGTATTAAGATATTATTTAATCAATATAGTTAATATAATATATTTATAAACATTTAAATAAAATAATATTTTATATAGTATTAATTATATATATATATATATTAAAGGTAATATATAAATATTAAAATATTATTTAACTAATGTTATTAATATAATATTTTAAGATAATATCTAAATAAACGAGTACTTTATTATATTTAATTAATGTAATTTTAAAATATGAATATTAACTATATATCTTTTAAGCAAATATATTTATATTAAAAATATATTATTATATAAAACATAATTTTTACAAAAATTTAATACTCATATATAAGTTAATTTATATTATAATATACAAAATATTATACGTATATATAATATACATATAAAGTTTTTATATATTATTTTTATTAATTTATTTAAATTTAATTATATATTTTACATTTTTTTAATAAGTAAATAATGATAATGAAATAAAATTATTTAAAAATATATTTTAACTAAAGTATATTTTAATGATTTATTAGATTAAAAATATAATTTTATGAACTATTAAATTAAAAGTATTTTTTAAAATATTAGAATAATTATTTTTTTTTCATGTTAATTTAATATAGAAGAATAATAATATAATAATTGTATCTTTCAAGTTTAAGAGATAAAAAGATGATTATTTGGTATTTTAACATATAAATGGTAGATAATGTAATATTTATATTTCTAAAGGAAAAAGAGTATAATTTATATCGATGATGATAAGTTAAATGAACTAAATTATATATTTTAATATAAAAGAATATGAAAGTCTAATATTCTTATCTCTCAAAAGAGAGTAACATAGTTTATATATTTTAACAAAAAAGGGGAGAGTGGTTTTATCTCTCATGTGAAAATAATATAATTTACTCTATATTTTAACTTTTTTCTTATTAATGAATATTTTAAAGTTGTAATAAGAAAAAATTAAGAAAAAATAACTGCTCATTATGTTAATAATAGTGATATTTTTTAATTGAAGAGTATTTTATAGTCTATGTTATGTGATTTAATGATCACCAGTTCTAAAGCTATTATATATTCCTTGGTAACATTTTCAGGTGTGTGGATCACTGGATCATGACTGAGAAGAGAAATACACATAAAGTAAGGGTTAATATTAAGGGGGTGTATTGGATTAGAATTTTAAAGGACTTTTTTAGAAGCCATAGCTGATGTGCGACAGATGACGCAAATCATACAACTACCATGGATAGTGAAGCGACATTAAGGAGGCTGATCGATCAGGTCGAACAGATGCGGCAGCAACACGCTGCCGATCTATAAAACATGCGTGCCCAGCACGACACTGACCTAGCGGCAATGCATACCGCTAATGAAGCCGACCTAGCAGCGCTACGCGCTGAGAACGAGCGTATTCGCTCCCAACTCCCTCGATGCCACTCCGATCATCCTCCTCATGTGAGCAGCCACCACGAGGAAGAAGAACATTCAGTCTCTCAACCTCGAGCTGCGACCAAGGCACCAACTCAACGACCTGCCACGCATCGTTCTCATGCACCGACGCACAAGTCAGCCCATGAAGTCAGCAAGGCCCCCACTCATGTCCCAGGGGATCAGGCAACCTTCCGCCGCCACCCGTTTGTGGATGGCATCATGGAGACACCACTCCTTCATGGGTGAAAGCCTCTCCACCTCGATCGCTATGATGGCACGACGGACCCGGATGAGCACATCGACCTGTACACGACG